TTTTATAAATTATCATAACTCGACCATTATATTGAAGATAGCTTTATTACAGGCTGAAACATTTGCGAAATATGCAAAATTAAACTCATATGATTACATTTGAAAAAAAAACTATAATTATTAACACAAAAATCTAATTTAGCTCGTTAGCGCTCCATCGTCTTATTTTTAATTTATTAATTCATTTTTTATCATAAACCATGTAATAATCTTTTACATAATTATTCACGTAATCAATAAACGTTCGAATTGCAACTACTAACTTTGAGCAAAATTGTACTTTTTAAATGTAATACAAAGAGAACAAAAAATACATGGTCGATGTAATTACTTGACAAGTGATAGATTTTTCAAATAAGGGCTTTGGGCCCACAGAGATTAAAGAGATGTGTTTTCTCGTTCCTTTCGCCACGGCAATAAATAATCATCGTCCTAATGAATTCGTGTGGTCCGTAACTACCGGTCCGGCCGACTAGGGGAGCATCTCTCTGTTCGTTTTTTTTTTTTCGCGGTACCAAGAAACACTTTTCGTATCACATGCATCAGTAATGTGTTACGGTTTCGTACAACGCAAGTCGAACAACGTGTCGCTACTTGCGCGCGCGTAAAAAGCAACCCGGAGAATCAACAACCGAAATTCTCGGTGCTCCTTTTTGTCGGACAAAACCAGCGGCGCAGCGGTCGGCGGTTTTCTCAACACCGACGTTAATTACCTTTGCGTTGTTGCGCATGGCGTACGTGCGAGGGAACCTGAATTACGGGGTCTCTGAACGCAAAAACTCTCGTGCGTCGGAGGTACGTACGGATTGCGAGAGAGGAAGAGAGGAGGAAAAGAAAAGCGCGCGCGAAGGGACGCAAAGAGGCGCGCCGGTTATTTATAAGCCGCTAAGGTACTCGGTATACTGAAGCCTTCGAACCACGACTGCTCTTCCTCTGTACGTTTCTTCTTCCTTTTTTTTTTTTTCGTTCGTGACATCGACATTCGGCTAAAAAACCGCGAAAGAAACGGAACGATCTTTATGACACGCTTCGTCGTTGCGTGTATGTACTATGTATCTCTCATCGACCTTTTTTTCTTTTCACCACTCTTGCTAATTTCATTCCGATTGCTACCAAAGGAAACTTGCTACTGCAAGTCGTTTTCATTTAAAATGTTTCGTAAAGATGATAACTGAATAAAAATCGAACATAATTGACATTACATTCCATTTAAATTTGCTCACTATTCGACTATTACTTTGCCAATATGTTTAATGAACTTTTAGCTTTATGAGCAGAATTTACATTTATTTTTCTTTAATCTTTGCAGAGATGAGATTTTCTTTCTTTGCATTCTATATGAGAATAAATAAACTGCACTTGTTAAATGTGGTAACTTTACCACATTTAACTCGATGGGGGTGCACAAATTAAATTTGCAAAATGAAGAATTATGTTAAAAGCTTGTGCAGTATATATATATTAATTGAGAATATGTGTGTCTGTGTGTGTGTGTGTGTGTGTGTATGCTTAATAACTGTATATCATATAGAAATATATATAAGCCGAACACGCGAAAATACTTGGAATATTAAAGGTGGCTTGAGATCTCCGTAACTCATAAATCATCGGCGTCTACTTGTACCTATGTATTCGCATGTCGACAGGATAGTCCATCTTTTAAATACATATGTGGTGCGTGTCTGACTAAACCCTTTTGGTCTTCTTAATGACTAGCGTCATTGTATACTTAAATCACTGCCGTCGAACTTTATGATTACATAGTCGTCGAGCAACGTAAACGCAGTTAATTGAACATTAATAAATTATCGAATCGACACGTTATCAGTAATTACAAGCACGCAGATAAAGTTCATTCAGAAAAGTGGTCGAGAGGATTGTACTTTATGATGCGGCTTTTTTAGTCGTCCAATTTTCTTAATTTCAGAATTTTTAACTAAATAAAGATAAATTTTCTCAAACCAAGTACTGCAAATGCGGAAGAAAAGTAGCAATTAAAGGTGTCACCGTTCGCAATGTTCGTATTATTATAGCTGCCATTATGTACTAAAAGTAAAAATAAAAGTCTTGGAGACAGGTGAATCGCGGTGCTCTTCTTCATGAACGAATAAATCATGGATGAGGCTGGACTTCCGCGCTTTATTCCACGGCTCGTTAATTCAGAATCCTTCATGCAGAATGGATCGTTTCTTTCTTCAGGAAATCTGCAACGAGACGAGGATCATGCATGTCCCAACACAGGATCCATAGTCCCGGAATTTTTCCACAGATCATTTATGGTGAACGTACCTTGAAGTACGATCCATTGTACTCCCTTTCTGTACATACGTTTAGTTCGTACATGTACAAGTGCAGTTTGCCCCTACATAATGTTTCGGAAGAAGGTATCAAGGAAGGTATCATTTTCGAAAAGAAACGTACGGCGAAATATAAATTTTGCATAAAATAGATATTACGTAATAGTTGTAATTATATAGTGTTTTATAAATAAAAAAAAATGTGAATTTTGCTTAAAATATTTCATATCGTTTTATGAAGCAGGTTTGAAAAAAAAATTCAAACAGGTTCTGTGAACATAATTTGAATGATTTTTTTTAAAAAAAAGTTCGAACGAAACCACTAATCACATGGATTTTTAAGATTCGATTGTTCAAATAATTCCGATATAAAAAGGAATTTGAAAGAAAATATATAATTCATTGCAAACAGAAATAACATAAATTTTCATTTGATCTCACAATATATAGTTTAACTCTATTCTATTATTATATTTAAATTCAATCTTGACAGAGAAAGTTAAATAATTTAAGACATTAAAAGTTCGTAATTATTTAAATAATCAAAGAATCCGAATATTAATACAAATTTACTTCGTACAGCTAATGTCTAAAAACTAGCATTGGTAATAGTAGAAAAGAATATTAAAGAGAATTCTAAATAGAGACAACAGAAATCGTTACAAAAGAAATCGATCGAAAGAAATCCAGACTGCAGGGACAACACTGAAGAATCTGCGGAAGCTGCGACAACCGGCAAGTTCAACTACACGTTGCTGCTGCTGCTAGTCGTCCTCGAGAATCTTTGTATGGGATAGATAGAAAATAAATGAGCAAGCGTCGTGCACGTTCCCACAGGATTCTTACTAAGTTGAGACTTGTGTGGAACAGCATGCGAAAGCAATCATCACTGATTATCACTGATAGTCATGATTACGATTCCGTCACGGGCCGAACATTTTCGCCTCCGTCGTATTTTTTTCACGCTCCCGTACGTCATATTTTTATAGTCGATTCTGGTAATTTTTGCAGCATCCTGTTCGCGGAGTTCGTCGAACCGCGTCGGAGCAGTGACCGTCATCGACGTCATCCATAAATTAGTAACTGATAAAAAAAAACGGCCTTGAAAAAATTATGCTATAGATGACAGCTTATAAATAGTAATATCGTTCTTTTATAATTCAAAACTCTTTTTACAAACACATTGAATTACTAGAAGAATCGTAAAATACATATTTTTGTTCTTTATCTCGTTATCTTATTACTCAGATATTGTATAATGCAGATAATAAAATTGATATTAGCGTAGTATTGGCGTCACTTGTGTATCTCAACAATTTTGTAAAAATTAATATGATGTTTTATTTAATATTCTGATATTTTATCAAACAATAAATGTATTTTTAAACGTTATTTTATATATTTTACACTAAAATAAATATTCGCTTAAAAAGAAAAATTGTGTAACGATGAATTTTGTAAGATTTATAGATTTGTATGTCATTCAAATTTGTATATCACACTTAAATTTATTGTTTTGATTGTTATTGTGTGCAAATATTTAAGCCTATTCTACAATGTGCTCTTTGTTTCTTGTTTTTTTACCTCTTGTTTTTTCCCTTTTGCAATCGTTTTATCAACAATTATATTTCTTGCTATGTGTTTCCTGTTTCTTCCGACGTTCGTTAACTTTTATTTCGGGCAACATAAAACGAAAAGACAAGATAAAAAAAAATAGCAAAAATAGTAAAAAATAGCAAAGAACAAGAAACAGAAAACAAAAAGCACATTGTAGAATAACCATTATAGATAAGTATGAAGACATTTTTTAACGAGCATTAGATACTTGAGTGAATACGCAAATATTTTAAAAATCTTGTTGATTCACAAGTATTCTCTGCAGGGCCCTTGACTCATTACAGCGTGATTCTTCTTGATAATTCATTTTTTTAATATCGCTATCAGATTCATTACGGTTATAAATAGCGGAACCTGTTCCCACGAGCCAATCCGACAGGGAAAATCGTATCGATGCTGCGATATGGTGAGAAAAAACGTACATGCACGGGTTGGCACAAGAGGTGCATCCTGCGCGATCCAAGGTCGAGAAACAGAAGAGACGCGACGGTCTACATAACTCGATCTTGGATGCTGCAATGGCTTCGATGGCTTTATACTTTCCGTCGACACGTTGTATCTTCAACTTGCTTTCATATCCGTTTTTCACGAGATCGGCATGCCGTAATGACGACGAGGGGGTCCTCCTCGCGGAGGATAAGCCTTGGGATGCGCTCAACTTGGCTTTTATCAGTGTCGAAGTCTTCACGTACAAATGAAACCCGCTTTGTATCATTATTTCCTTAATTGATTGATAATTATCTCCCGCAAAATGGTACAAAGGTATCACTGCTAACTGTCCTAAAAAAAATGCTATTAGACTTGATGTACGCAAGTATACTTTACGTAATTACACTTGTTGCAACTGAATAATGTTGAAATATATAACTTGAAACACACACACACACACACACACACACACACACACATATAAATTACAAAAAAGAATATCCAATAAGGTAGAAGCAAAAAAATTAAAGTATCGTTTCGTTTCCAATTGACATTTGAGTGATATTTTTTGCTAAAAGGAGATAATCAAGAAGAGTTGAGGAATTTAATTATCTATATACTATTTTATCTTTCACGTTGACGCATGTGTGTGAGAGAGAGAGAGAGAGAGAGAGAGAGCCTACGCTAATTCTATACAGCGATAACTAGCTGAGTGCGAGAAATGCGATTGAACGGAGAACTGGACAGTGTCGCATTCTCCGGTGAAGAGGTGCGAATTCCTGGACGGTATCGGTTCTCGTGTGTAATGTGTAACATCGAGCGTATAACGATCGGAACACGGTTTGTGCCCCCTTCCACACCTGCACGCAGCCACTATTCCTTCTCGCGTGCACATACACACGCGTGTTGGTGCTCCAACGCACACCGGCAAGCCAATTGGAGAGTCAAGTCTTGGCCAAGTCTTTATAAGTAGGAGCCATCCGCGTCCTCAGGACTTACTCCCTCTCGGGAACGTGCCACGATCAGCAACCGATTTTCAGAATAGTTAGTAAAAAGTTTGTAAAGCCAGCCAGGCTCACGCTCCACGAATTTCCGAAGACGAGGATTCAAAGGAAACAGAAGGATTTGTGAGATGACGAACGTGGACGACTAACAAATGAAGGAATTCTTTGCTGAATGCATCGAAATGTAAGTCCATACATTCCTTTTTCATATTTGTGAAGATGAATGGAAATGCCTCTGTAATTTTTGGTTTAGCAATAAGCTAAAAAGTAATAATATAAGCTAAAAAATTTTTTTTTAATGTGTTTTGTAGATTGTATTATATATTTTTTGAAAATTTGTGCAAGTTTGAAATGTATTTGTTAGCATAAAAAAGTGATTAAATTATTAATCTTTCGGAGATTATATATATGTGCGGAAAATGGAATGAAAATTATGAGATGTACATTTTTTTTTAATTTACGCGTTTGTATTCATTAATGAAAAGTGATTAGATCATTAATCTCTAGAGGGTTGCATGATGGCGAAAGATACTTGTTCCGGTCAATGAATAAATATCTGGTGTTTAAATAATTAAGAGAATAAATCTCGTTTGAATCGAAGTTAATTTATAGTTTAATTTTTCGGAATCATCATAAGCAGTCACACAAATATAATTTATTGTCTGCAGTTCTGAAACTTCGTAGAAATATCCTTGGTATTTTTCTTCGCTTCCTTGGGAAGTACATTGGCGGATATTTAACGAAGGCCTTAGAGGGAAGTGATTAGCATAAATTTCGATGTCCGAGGCGTTACTGGTCGAAAATTTAAGCAGCCTCATAAATACATAGCGATTATGATTCATCAGATAACAAAGATCGGTTCGATCATGCGTTGGTGTCGATAATTGATAACCAAATGATGCGTTAAGTTCCTCAAACATATATTTCTAATTTTTTTAATACCAAAATAATTTGCATAATTATTGCGTTAACATTACTAATCTATTTTATAGTAGTAAACATAGTTACGTTTATACATTTTTGTAAATGTAAAATTTTTCTTATATTGCAGCGCTTTTCATTTAGATCTTGAAATCAAAAGCTTAATTGATTATTACAAGTTAACAGGTATAGCAAAAGGTATATCAGAAGTCTCATAATTTAAATCGAAGCTACTTTATTACTGAGATTAAACACGATATATGTATAATGGATACCTTATTTCTGATAGTTATCTATAATTAATAGCATTAGGATTCCATTAAACTAGTTAAACTGTTAATACATACCGATCACTTGCAATTTTACGTTATAAACGTATAATTGAATGTGATTGTGTTTATTGCGGTAATAAAATATGAAAATAGTAATTTAAATGAAACCTCCTTTTAATAATTTCTATCGTGAAATTATCTGATATCATCTAATAATATACGCAAAAACTTAAAACATGAACACTTCGTGCGACAGCTTTCATACTCCATAATCATATTTTATAATCATATTTTCGTGTCCTAAAATTGATATCAAGAAAATACTATTGGCATTTAGTGTAATAAAAAGTCTTTGGAGTTGGTCGGGGATCAATGTCGAGCGTGTAATCGTTATATGGTCATGACACTGGTCATCACGTAACTGTTTCACCCGGTCACAAGCGGGTCTTACAATATACTTGTAACATGCCCACAATGTAAATGACCGTTGCCGAAATATTCCCCCGGTCGATCGCGAATTCGCGTCACGATCTGAACGGCTGCTGTATTTGGCTCGACATTCCGCGCTTCGTATGCTCGGCTCGAGCACGGCCGATCAATCCATCGTTCGATCTTGGCATTGAAATAACCGATCGGCCAAGAAATAAACAGGCTTGCTCGCGGGCGCATAATGTATTATGTACGCTTGTGTAGCATTTCGTAATCTGTAAACGGCAACAGCCTTAAGTGATACCGGTCTTAAAATTAATTTTCGGTCTGATGTATCATAAAGAAACACCGCACGTGCGCTGTGTAAGTATCGAGCGAATCATGATTTCATCCTAACATGTTACTTAATTATTGCTGCGCAGAATGCGCATTAAAAATTGCACGTGTAATAAATAAATATTTGTTACAAGCAATGATTAGGATAAATGAGAAAAGTATATTAGATTATCTATGGAATATTGCAGTACAAAATTTGTTACGATAAAAAATGTAAAGTGAATCACGCAATTTTTTTCTATCTTTTTTAATGATAAAAAGTGGCCTGACTCAAAATATTATATCGATAATATTTTGGAAGTAAGACCACTTTTTTTAATTCATTAAAAGAAACAGAAAAAAATTGCGTGATTCACTCTGTATTTTTTATTATTACAGATTTCACAATTAAATAGAATTCTAAAAATAAATAATTAATTAATAATTTTTAATAGTTTTAATACTAACATAAAAATAGTTGTTATATTATTTAAAAATAAGAAATCAACGTAAAAAGACCCTATGTAAACCTCTTATTACAAAGAACGTCTTTACAAAAGAAAACGTGTAATTATAAAAAATTTTTTTTCGTTACGTGAATATAAGAAATGTTTCCATTATTAACAATATTTTAACGAGCAATGTTTCTAGAGAGTTCAACCTTGCGCAATTATTCCAAAATGGAAGATAAAAGAAAAAATTCGAAATTGACTCAACGGCAACTATACACGCGCTTGTTTAATCATATTTTGTATAGAAAAAAAAAATCAGTAAAATCTTATCTCGATTATCATCCATACGGCCTAAAATTATTTTTATATTTAATATTGACCATAATGTGATATTTGTGTGTAAAATTCTATAAATTATGAAATAAAAATAAAAAATAAATACACACACACACATATACACACACATTTGATATCACATTTTTATCTACGTACACAAGTTATTGTAAATTATTATTTAAAGAAATATAAAGTTTACATTATGTAGGTATATATACATACGTATACATTTCCAACTACGTTATATTATATCAGCTCAATGTGATCATTAATTGTACCAAACAAGGTTCTTACTATGAACATACCGATTCCATTGATTCATCGCGGCTAGTAATTATGCTCTATTTATGTCTACGTAATTCACACCTGCAGCTTTCTCATTTTCTTAGAGATACGTAGCATGTATACCAAGTAGCCTTGAACCTTACATACGGAGCTAGTGTCAGTGACGGATTTACGCACGACGCATGATAGATCTCCGGGATACCTACGGGATGATTGTAGTAGCAAATGAAGGGGTTATTGAAAAAAGAGGTGTAGAGACTTCTAAAGAGAATGGTAGAAGCTGAAGAAGGAAAAGAACGTATACTACTTACAAGGATCCCTTTAATTGCGACGTGCCACTGCAAGGGGAGTTTGGATGATGTTGCTAATCACGAAGAAATCCACAGAGTACAGTTGACGAACGTCATATAAATTTTTATAACATTATGCTACGCGCTGTTAATTCAGCGCCAAGTTTATATTGCACTTGCAAATGAAAATTTTTCATTTTATAAAAAAAATAGTACTTTTATATATAAACAGCCAACTATACAGCCAGCTATACTCATGTAATATATATTACATATACATATTATATATAAGTATGTATAATATATATATATATATCACATAAGTTAGTTATACATTTAAAGATTTACATTAATTTCCCTAAAACATATAGTACAAATTAAAAATATTTTACATTTTCATAAAGATTATATTATATATTTATCCTTTTATTATAAAAAGTCATTCAAGAGTAAAATCTTTCTACTCAAGATACATGTTGAATTGTACATATTTACAAGTATGCAATATTTCAATATTACATGTCACAATAATCAATGTAGTTATCGTTAACTATTTTAAGAGGAATTCATCTTATATCTTGATTTTTTATAATATATTTTATAATAATATATATTTAATATAAATAACTGATATATATATATATATATGTAAACGAGAATATATAAATCCTATTATTATTGTTTTATAAAAATATTTAAGTATTTTAAAAGCACTGAATTTTCTGAATAGAAGATATGTTTCTTATATTATTTAGTAAATGTAATGTGTCCTTTCAGTAATTGTTACAATTTATTCCGGATTCTGTATGACTTCTCATCATTCCGACGCCACTGTACATACACCAGTATACATATCGGTAGAGAGGGCAAAAGTGGAATTGGCGGGAGAAGAAACGACCTTGCTACTTTCCATGGCAAGGTTGCACTTAGGCCGTACGCATGCTATCATAACAGCTCAGGTTCACTGTACCGCATCATCGCCCGCAGACTGAGATATTACTATTTCCTTCGTCACTGTAACAGGTTGTGTCTCGATTAGCTTTTGCTTCTGTCTGAATGCACATCACATAAGTTGAGGATTTACTTTAAAAAATTTCCCAAAGCAAGCTTTATATACAATATAATATTGGGTCATCTAAAAAGTATCCGCGGTACTTTGTCACTAGATATATGACCATCAACACACATCTAGTGACAAAAAACCGCGGATACTTTTTAGATGACCCAATATTTGCTAATGCAACTTATTAATAATTTTGAAAAGCTAATTTTGCGTCATAAACATTCGATATAATATTATCTCCTCTAGTATGTCCTCCAACTGTTCAGTTCTGAATAAAAACTAATAATCGCACGCCACTTATCCTTCATTATCCATAAAAAATGCTTGCGATGAATCAAATCGAACGTCGACCGCTGAAAGGACGTATAGACTCAAGGATCGGGAAATATACACTTATATTTTCTGCCAATTTTCTATTATTACGGCGTTATCAGTGATGTTTGGCGACAAGGTTGACTATAGATTACTATTTCTTAAAACATGTTCCATGCAATTAACAAGCATTTGTGTCGAGAATTCCAATAATCGTTTTTAATTCGAGGCCAAGCTTCGTTTCACGCGTGAAGTTACTCGAATTGAAAAAAATGGTTTTTAAGATAAAAAATCGAGAAAGCATCTACATATTATGTGATTCAAAAAGATGTGCTTCTAAAAATAATTATATTTTGAATTATATCGGATTTATAATTAATTCATAATGATGTTTAATTTTTAAGGATCATGCAAATTAATGACGAACTATGTACGTTAAAGGAAAGAATTTCTTATAATGCAAAAAGAGTGTTGTTGTGAAGTTCATAATTATATATTCATTATTCTATAAAAAGCCTCTCTCTCTCTCTCTCTCTCTCTTTCCTTTTCTCTCTCTCAATTTGCAATCTTATCATCAATCTTTCTGATAAATGGTAAGTCAAGTAATAATTTATTGCCTTTAATGGAGCGATCTCCAACTTGTCAAACTTGTTGGTACGGCTATTAATAACGATATTGAGTGACACTCAACCACTATTAATTAGATTATCAGCTCTTTACGATCGATTATCTAGACTAGTAAATTTCTTGTCCCATCATTTTCATAAATAGTTTACCGTTAAATCTTTAAAGAATGAAAGAAGAAGAAGAAGAAGGTGTGCAATGACTGTCGATAATTACAAAGTTAATTAATGTAATCTGAATGCTATTATGTTAATTTTTTTTGAAGTTCTTCTCTAAAGATGATAAAGATATTTTCGATAGTGCGATTAAAAAAACATTTCTCTGTTTTGTATTTCTTTATCGCACTGACATTTGCTATTAGAAGCATTTAGGCTCGTAATGTCTCGAGTTGATTTTTTACAGTTCATCTACAAATAAGTTAATTATTATCTATTTAATTAATTTTATTTGTTTCTCAAATTTAAAACTCTTTTTCTAAACTGATAAACTCAAGAATCGTAATGTAAATACATGCTTGGGTAAGCTCGGTAAAGTCTTTTACGCTTGATCGAAGATGCAGAAATCAAGTACTTATCGCGAACATTTAACTCGCGATAAGCATTTGATTTCTGCATCTTCGATTGCGAACTTCCTTTATCTGCAAGTATATCTTAGAGATGCAAGTTAAATATGTGTACTATTTATAATAATAATAATCAGTACGTTAATGAACACTTAATGCTTTGTGAAAATATCGGATAGCGTTATCACCAATTTTCCCATTTTCAGATGCTCTAATAAAAGAAACGCAATACATACGATTCGATTTACATTTAAATCGAGTTGCCGCTGTGATGATACATAATGTCAGTGATTATATTAGTGAAGGCAAACAAACTGAAAGGCCAATTGCATCTAGATTACTTTATGCGATCAAAAATAACATTTTATTATGACGTGTTAATTCTCGAATGGGTGATAATACATGAACAATAATTAAATAGTTTCACGTATTTGCATGTTTGAGAACTTATGAAAGATTCGATATATAAATTCTGTCGGCATTGCGCCGCATGAAAGAGAAAAAAAGAGAGAGGAGAGGGAGAGAGGAGGGAAAAAAAGGAAGCCAGTTAATTTCGCGATGTCGATTCTTACCAGTCGAGATATTCATCGGCGAAGGGCGGGTTAATTGCACGACAAACCGCGAAGATACGCTGGACACGTTGTCCTTGAAATGCGTCCGAGGCTGCGAGTTCGTTTAGATTTAATTCCCTGAAGTAGCAACAACAACAGCAACAACAGCAACAGCAGCATCACCAGCAACAGCAGCATCACCAGCAGCAGCAGCAGCAGCAGGTGGTAGACCTGTTTGAAACGGTTTATAAATAAACCATGTTACCCTCTTAACAGCCTATCATTACTTGCGCGCATCTTCGAACCGTCTGGCATTTATATCCGCTGCTTAGGGTATCCGTTTACACTTTGATAGTAAACGATAGTAACAGCCGAATGGCTCCTCATTATGCTTTATGCACGCAGCGATGCGCCGCGCAACAAAATGTATCTGCGATACTTTACGATAGACAACGTGGAATCTTGCGCAACGTTAATTCCTCATAAAAGAGATGAATAAGGAATAAACGCACATTGTAGTCGTAATAATAAATGACAGGACCAAACTAAAATATTTATTGGTAATAGCCAAAGGATGCGTAATTACTCTCAATATTACAAAATACAATTTCTCTGTAAAAAGACTCGTGTAACCAAGTCTGAAAATTATAACTAGCAAATAAAAATTTCTTTTTCGATTAAACTAAACTTTGCTTATTTTCTTTGGAATTTGCATTTAGTAGATATATATATCACAGAGCAAATGTTTTATATATACACACACACACACACACACACACACACACACACACACACACACACACACACACATTTATAAAACTAAGCGCGGTTCTATTGATGTTTTTTCTGATCTATTATTTATTTTGCATTCACTAGCATTGATGTTCAGTATGCAAAATAGATTGCATGCTCTTTCGCATAATCGTAAACACACCTGTGATTGAAAGCAATGACCACGTGGAATAATCTTGATTAGCATTCAGCGAACGATCAACGGAGCCTACAACATCGCGCCATAAAATGTTTCATTCAACGCTGCGGAAATTTCTTCAAGCATACCGTTTTATAATGTAGGTTATTCACACGAATTTAATATGGTAATTTAATAAAATATCAGTTGCATCAATTGTAGGGTGTATTAGATAAAAAGTTTGAAAATTTAAATATCTTATATCCGCAATCCATGTTAAAGAAAATTTAATTTTTATATTAAAAAAAAAACAAGTATTTTTTTTTCGTGAAGTCGATCAAGTTTAATATTAAACACGCTGTTAAATGTGGTCTAGAGATTATAAAAAGTATGAAATAAATTGTATGAAACAAATTTTGCAACGCACAATTGGCATTGACAATGAATTCACAATCTGAACGTAATGTCACGATTAAGTTATGGATATTTTGCAAGAAGACGTAGTTTGATGTTACGTGGTTATCGCGTAATAACATTCTTTTCATTAAACGAAAAGAAAAGATAATCAAACGAGATTGAAACAGGTTTAAATTATCCTCTATATAGAATATTACCACATATATCTCTTTTCAGTAATAAAACTTTTTACTTTTGTTTAGATGTTAATGGCGATTAACATTTAACAAAAAATTTAGAATTAATAATAAACTCTATCTCTATATCATCGCCTATATAGCGACTTATGCTAGCATTTATGTTTCCTGTTGCATAGATCTCACAATTAGTTTCTCACCGTTGCTCGTAGTTTCCATCTTGATAAACAGCAGCGAAATGCATATACTTCATTAATAGAGCTGCAGGTAGTTGAAGAAATAAGATGACGTTTTTTGATGGAAACCTTAACATGCTTTAAGATGAGCTCTTATCGGATAAATCGTTAAACAGAAGTGGATAGCTTCTTCAAAATAGCAGGGTCAATAACCAAGATAGTTAATATACACGGTTAGACTTATAAATTGTTCGGCAAAAAAACCAACATTTCTCCTGAAATCTAAACATAATATATGTTATAAATGAATTGTGATTACGTCATCATGTTTTTATTTAATCAAATAGAAATAACATAAAAAGATCACAAAATTAAAATTATTGTAAACTGTTCTTCCAAATTCAGTTTCTTACATTTGATCTATGTAACATATTTATATATACATATGTATATGTATATGCAAATAATGTAACAGTTCTGTTAACGGATAAAATGAATAAATATGTGGATAATAAGTATTGTATATTCAAATTTTCATGTCGCTCGTTATAGACATGTTCATTTCAAAAAACCAGATCATGTTTTATTTATAGTACAATGAAAGGTTAATGAAAGTGTTATAAAATTGAGAAAAAACTTTCAATTAAAAAATTAAAACTTTTTAACTGTCGATAATTAATAAAAAAAAGTTTTCGCTTGTCAAACATGATAAGCGAAACTATGATGATATAAACTATGATAACTTGCTTAATAATATTTGCGAAACTTATATTTGATTTTTCATTAAACACTTTGTACTTTAAGAAATATTGTCAATTATTCCTTTATTTTAACAAAATTTACATTTTTGCATTGTAATGATTAATAATTTTATTATGTTTTTGATTATAGATAAAGTTATATACACAAAAGATGCGGAAAGTTCAATCGATTTTGAGCATTTTTACGATATCGCTTATAATAAGATTTACAAAAGCTGGTGAGAACTATTTATTTTTTTCAATAATATATTAGGCCACATTTTTTTGTGAATATACAAATAAATATTAAATAATTAAATATTAAATAATATTTCAATGTGAATTTATATACATAGTCAGAATTTATATACACAGTTCTATAACATAGTCAGTTCTGAAATAATTCGATTTTAGAATACAATCTTAAACTGAAACTGAGATAATAATATCACAAATTAAATTGACAAGTACTTTAACGATACTGATGCTAATAAGTATCTTAAAAAGCTATAAATAATTTATTGCAAAAAATTATAGAACTGGATATGTATAGAAATTCACATCAAAATATTATTTAAGTATTAAAATATGCTTAATCTTCCTTTGTTTTAATCTTAATTTATTTTTAAAAAATTAATATCAAATAAATTTTTTAATATGTAAAAATCGTATGATAATATTTAGTCAATTAAGGCCAACTTAAATTTGAGCGTTTATTAAACTTATTGAATTGCAGATTATTACGAGTATAATCAAGACCAATACCGACAAAGCAATGCTTTTAAATGTATAGAAGAGGGTTATCATCCTGATCCGCATGACTGCAGAGTTTACTATAGATGTGTAGATTGGGGCAATGGCAGCCCGCTAACGACCTTCAAATTCGAATGCGGAGTCGGCACAGTGTTCTCAAAGGATAAGGGAGACATATGTACGCATCCAGAAGATAGTGGTCGACCTGAATGTGGCAACTCCGAGAATGAACTCGATTCAAATGTACAAGATCCTCCTTCTCCTACATGGACAACAACAATTCGAACAACTATGTGGTCACAATCAACTATGATACAGTCCCCAATAACTAAACCATCTACAATCACGACTGAAGCTGCGACAACAATAAAAAAACCGGAAACAACAATACTACCACCATTAACAAATCGACCACCTATAAACGAACCAGAAGATAACGTTGTTAATTGTCAAAATAGATACCAAAAATGTACACAAGAAGGATTTTTAGCCGATACTTGTAATTGCAGAAAATTTTACAGATGTGTAAACGAAGGTTATGGAAGGTTTACAAAATATGAATATAAGTGTGGCGAGGGAACTGTTTGGGATCCAGAAATTCAAGTGTGTAATCACGCTTGGGCTGTTACGAGGAAAGACTGTAGGCAAAACTTGGAAAGTGGGGATAATAATGGACAATGGAATGGTGACACTGGAGACAACAGTGGACAATGGAATGGTGACACTGGTAGTCCAGGACAACCAGGACAACCTGGAGATCCAAATGGTCAACCAGGACAACCTGGAGATCCAAATGGCCAACCAGGACAACCTGGAGATCCAAATGGCCAACCAGGACAACCTGGAGATCCAAATGGCCAACCAGGACAACCTGGAGATCCAAATGGCCAACCAGGACAACCTGGAGATCCAAATGGCCAACCAGGACAACCTGGAGATCCAAATGGCCAACCAGGACAACCTGGAGATCCAAATGGCCAACCAGGACAACCTGGAGATCCAAATGGCCAACCAGGACAACCTGGAGATCCAAATGGTCAACCAGGTTCACCGGGTAGTCCAGGCTCTCCGGGATACCCAGGGACACCGGGTTCTCCAGGCTCTCCGGGTTCTTCGGGTAGTCCAGGTTCTCCGGGATACCCAGGAACACCGGATTCCCCAGGCTCTCCGGGATATCCGGGAACATCACCGGGTTCTCCAGGCACTCCAGGTTCTCCGGGTAGTGCAGGCACTCCAGGATATCCAGGAACACCGGGTTCTCCAGGTTCTCCGGGATATCCGGGGACATCGGGTTCTCCAGGCACTCCGGGACATCCGGGGACACCGGGTTCTCCAGGATCTCCAGGATCTCCAGGTTCACCGGGTTCCCCAGGCTCTCCGGG